TTATTTTAAATAGTAAAAATATTTCAAAATGCTACCGTTTTTGCTGTATTTTGGATCAAATAAATGCAGGCTTGGTGAGCAGAAGAGAATTCTTTAAAAATTCTGAATTTTGAATTCTGTTCAAAAACTTTTGACTTGCATGTTAGCCTATAGTTTGGAGTAAAAAATATTAATATTAATAAGGAGAGTCTGAGATTTATTTGACAGTGATTTCACATTTCTTGTTTGTATGAAGACTAAATACCAATAAACGGTGAACGTTTATTTATTTGCGCCATTTTTTCCCAAAAATATTATATAGTTTTATAGGAGTAGGTTTCATAGAGTTGGCAAATTAATTTTTATAAGTTTGTAGGTACAGACATCTGTTGTGGCCGTTCTTGGCCATTTTTATGAGGCTTTTTTAATAATGTTCATATCGATATCGGAATTATATCGTATCGACCGAAATTAAGAAATATATCGTGATATAAATTTTGGCCATATCGTCCAGCCCTACGTATAATTATTTTATATCATTTTATGTCATTTTGTATAATTTTATTTTATTTTATATGATTTATATAATTTAGAATTATTTTATATCATTTTATGTAATTATATTAATTATATTAATATTATTATGTATTTGAAAAAATAAAATGTAAAAAGTAACTTGTTCTGAAAGGAAATTCTGAATGCCAGAACTTGTTCGGTAAATTTTGAAATGTACTATTTTTCTATTAATTCTTTCCCCGCCAGCGTTTTTGAAAGAAGTTGCCAAAAAAAGTTTGAAAAGTTGATTTTCACTAAAATTTCATGGCTCCCAGAATGTTTTGTTGTATGAATATTTGCACATGCAAAACATCAAAATAAAGATCAGACCCTCTACTTTCAAACAAAAAAAATCTGTTTTATTCTTGCTTCAAGCATTGTTTTTTTATCAACACTTGAATGTAGGTGGGTTTCATAAAAAAGCAAAATTTTGAGCAAAAAGCTGAGATAATCGCATTTTTATCAAATACTACATCTGGATCATATTCAGTAATATTATCCATGTAAAGATGCAGTAGATGGCTTCCATCAGTACTCCTAAAGCTTGCACAGGCCTTTACCACTTTCTGAACTGACATTTCACTTGTTCGCTCGTATCGCTTGTTTCTGCGTCTTCCTGGTCTGTGTTTTTGATCGTCACTTATCTAGACTCATTCAGGAGATGTGTAATAGAGCCCCCTAGCGTATTTGTTTATTTATTTAACGTATAACAGTGCGTATAACAGTGCGTATAACATATAGCGTATAACAGTGAAAACACGGAAACCTAGAAAATTCCGTCTTTGGCAGGGAAGCGTTGTCTCATGAATAACGGAAAATTCCGTGTTTGGCGGGGAAAGAGTTTACATCACTCTTAAAGGGGTGATATGACGATGCTAAAAATAACATTATTTGGTGTAATGCAATGTGTTTACGCGGTTTAACGTTCAAAAAACATTATTTTCCACATACCGTACATTATTGTTGCTCCTCTCTGCCCCGCCTTTCTGAAATACGTAGATTTTTACAAAGCTCATCGTTCTGAAAAGTGAGGTGTGCTCTGATTGGCCGGCTGTCAAGTGCATTCTGATTGGCTGAATACCTCAAACGGAAATGTTATTCCCCTTACCATATTTTGGAAACACACAGTGCGGCAACAATACTACAGCGAGAATAAAAGTTACACCTTCTTTCTTTGCGTAAACATTTGGGTGGTGTTATGTAAATCTTCTAACAGTGAAGTAGACATGTGGGGGCGTGTTTAAATGGGGCGTTTAAGAGGGCGTGGACGAGTCTTAACTTTTATAAATATTATCTCTTTGGGTTTGAGACTTTAGTCTTTGCAACTTTACGGATCAAGAACAAGAATCGGCCCACAAAAGGCTTGTGGGCTGTGATGTTGAAGGATGCTTCTTTTGGAAAGTATATTTTTGGGAGGAGCATAGTTGGACCTCCTGTCAGGACACCGTGGGCATCACAGAAGCTGACGTTCTGACAGGAAGCTGTCGGAAGATGTTACAACAACCAGAGAGGGATGAGAGAGGAACAGCCTGTTAAAAAATGCTCTTTCCTGGCATAGATGTTAAAATTGCTCCCTGAAAATGCTCTCTAGATTGCACATTAAAGCTTTTTGGAGGAAAAGATATTAGACTGTGTTGACTTCAAATGCTTTTGCTGCACTCAAACCATCCTGACGCATAAGAAAAACAAAAATTCAACTGATTTAAACGCTGCACATTTGTTCTTACAAACGTTTACAGGAGGAAATGAATTAGAGCTCATTCAAAGCAGATTATTTTCCTCCATGTTGTACATGTGCAGCTGGTCAGTTGTGTGTTTTATATGGTTGGCTTGCCTGAAGCAACACATTGTCGTTGATTATGAATCTTCTTGTATGTGTTCAGTGAGCCCGGTGTCTCAATCATTCAGAGCTGTAAAATGAATTTTTCCCATATGATGCCAATTAAAGGCAACATTTACGTTTTTGAAGCCGTTATGACCTACAGACACAATGTTTTATAGATGCCATCCTGGTGCTGTAACATAATGAATGATCAGGGAGGTTGGCAGGTTTTTAAGGCTGATCCTAAATGGATTTGCTCGTTGCTTGTATGTGTGTGTGTCCCTGCAGGACGAAGGCTCAGTAAAGAGCAAGCCAAATGTCAGGAGTGCAGGGCATCCGTCTGTCATGCTAATACACTCATTTAGCTCATTATCACACGGTCACAGAAAAGCCATCTGAACAAATGCACACCTCACTCTCACACGTGGAGGGCTGTTGATATTTGTGAATGTGATTGTGTCTGGTTCTTCTAAACAAAAAGAAAAAAGGTGGGAGAAAACCTGTATGACTCAGGTTTCGCCGACATTGCTGAGACCAAAGGTTAATTATAGTAAAAACTACATACGTGGCAGGGAGCAGCAATTTCTTAATGAAAAATAAAAAATACAGATTTTTTAGAGGATACAAAATATCATTAGCTCAGTATAAAAACTATACAAGTGAATGGTGTGAAATGTGTGTTTTGATGTGGTACGTAAATCTTGCCTAGTCATCCTGGAGTAGATGTGCGGATGTCATGTTAAATTCTCTGTGTTACATGATACGCACACTCACAGTGAAGTGATAGATGTGATTCATTTTTTCCTGTGCTAATTAATGAATTAATTAAAGAAGGATCATTAGCTAATTATGGAAAAGGTGCCAGAAAGAACCTAAATAAGTAACTTTTTTCCACTTAAACCTTTTGCAATTAAAGAAATGGATAGTGCTTTTGACAAAATGTTGACTTGCCTGAGATGACATAATGTAGACATAAATATCAAGATATGCATAATTGCATAATATAAAAATATAAATTATAAATTATAAAAATATATATTTGAGGTCAATTGTGATACAAGTGTAAAGCTGTAGGGTATAGCTATATTTAAAATATGTGTTTATGAGTGCCTTCTGAAAGCTGTTTGTGTTTGGAGTTTTTCATTCTAATATTTTAAATAACTTTGCATGTTTGTTTTCTTTGAAAGCCTCTTATGTTTTCTCTTACATTTTTCTTTCTTTTTGCCCTGTCTCAAGGGAGAGAAAAATAGAGAGCAGTCAGCAGTCCAACTTGTGTCATCTTTCAGTGTCTTCTCCATGCGCTTCTGTCTGATAGACAGGAAAGAAGTGTGTTGAGTTTGATTCATGGTATTTCTCTCAACACTCTTCCACTCATGAATATATTCATGATGCTGCAAGGTGCTGGTGTGAAGTGTTGGGGGCAGGTGTGTGTGTGCACTTGTGTTGCAGGGAAAAAGGAGTGTGAAAGGGGTGAGAGGCAAGCCGTTTGCACAGCACCAAAACAAACAAGCCTTTTGTTCATAAAATTATTCCATATGCTCCACCTTTTCTAAAAAAGCACTTGTTCATCAAGATGCATGTGAGTTTGGGAAAACGAATACTTTAAATTGACCTTAAACTAAGTAATATTTAAGTTTTAGTGATGATTAAACAGAAGCCCAGTCTTTAACTCCAGTAGCTGAGCTTCTTGCACTTTCACTCCTCTGGGACTTACAGAAAAGTACATTTGAGTTGAGCAAGCAGAACTGCAACTCAAGCTAAACTAAGAATTTTTATACTCAAGAATGATGTAAATTACATTCAAACATATTTGGTTTGAAGAAAATTGCGTGGTTCATTGATGCAGCATGCGACTGTCAATATTCTGACTCTGAATGTGCTAAATATTACATGTGCTAGCTTTCGGTGTTCCAAAAGTAAATTTCCTTTTTTATGTCAGTGCACTGTTTTATTGTTGTACGTAATACTTGCAAAAAAAAAAAGCTGTCTAATCGCTCTCGTGGTACTTTGATGTCACACACATAATGGTCTGTGCAGTGCTGCTTCAGTCAAACACCTTTTGTGTTTTATTAGGAGACGCACAACAGTTCTTCTGTGGCTTTATAAGTAATATTTTCACGTCACATCAGAAAATATTGTGTCTAATATATACCACAATATTAACTTCTTATTATTGAATTGTTGTAAATAAATATCACATTTGCAGCTGGTCAGTGTTCAAAAAATGCTGGGAAATAATTTAATGTAGCCCTACAAGAGTGATTACTGATAAACAGTCTGAAAAAAAGAAAGTCACGTTTTAGAGAAGAAAAAAATCACCCACTGACTTTCAAAGCTGCTATATAATAACGACTTTCTACTTCGAGGACCTTGATAGAAATGTAGTGGAGTGAAAAGTACAATATTTGTCTTTCAAATGTAGTGAAGTTAAAGTTATAAGTTCCCAGAAAAAATAAATACTCAAAAAGTGTACTTAAGTACAATACTCAAGTAAATGTACTTAGTTGCTGTCCGCCTCTGTGCTTATCTTACCCGTAGTTTCCACAGAAAAATGCTATTTCTCAAAGGTTGATCTTTTATAGTTATGGGGACTTGAGGGAGTTGGACTTGAACCATCTCAGATGTGTTTCCTACTTTGCTCTGGAGAAGTAAACATTTGATTCAATTGTTGACATAGAGTCTCCAGTAAATTTGTCTTGAACTAAAAATTGAGAAATATATTTTATTGAAATCACAGTATAATTGCAAACTTTGATATCTTGGTAAAGCTGGGCACAGGTTGTGACATCTATTTTGAAACTCTAAAAGAGACGCAAGAGATCACTGGGGTCTTAATAAGGGGGAAATTTAAAGTCACTATTTAAACTATGTGCTGTAAAGAACTTTACAAGCGACTAAAAGAGACCATCATAATGAACTGATTTTCAACCAGCTTTGTATTGAAGTAAAGTCTGATCAAGCACATTGCATTATGGGTGTCAAAGTTTTCCTACCTTTTTCTCTATATATGCAGTTTCTGCTTATTAAAACCCCATCTTGTCAGCTGTAAATTACCCCTTTAATACAAAATTCCTATTTCAGTTAAGTCCATGCATGCATGACTGCAGAGCCCATCTTTCTACCTCACATTACCTTCCCACTATTTTATAGAACTGAAATGGTTTGATATTCCAAAAGAAACCTTCAAGGGCATGAATTCCAGTGTATCTAATCCATTGTGCTCTTATATGAGGTTGCTCAAATATTCCTCTTGCAGCAACTTGTGAGCAGCCAAACCATATAATTTAAAGTATGATGTGTGAGAATCCTTAGAATACAGGCTGCTGGATCAAGATTCAGCGTTTAAACAATTTTTCTAATTGCCTCAGACAAAAAGAACCTAATATGACACTGGAGAACACAATAAAAGTTATATCATTTTGAATTTATCTTACAAATTCAGATGAGAAAGATAATTAAGAGAAGAAATTATATTACATTTTCAATGGAGACATATGAGGCCTTTCTGGGTAAAGTGTTTTTGAGTATGGGAGTGGTTCTGTTCTTTTATGAATTTCAAATAATAACAAATTTACTCTCTCTACATTCCTCTTTTGCAGGATAACGTTCTGTCATCTGCCCTTCCAAAGTAAATGGCTGTACATCGGCTCAGAACGAGGAAACATCCACATTGTGAATGTGGAGTCCTTTACCCTCTCAGGATATACCATCATGTGGAACAAAGCCATTGAACTGTGAGTGCCACACACACATTTGAAATGAAATGTAATCTCACTGAGACCTGGAATCTGATTTGTAATATATCATATATGTCACATCTGTCATTGTTCCTGTAGCCTTGTTATGTTTTATTTGTTACTAAGCGATCATTTGAATCAAATGTCATTTTAAATGGTCAATTCACCTGCTCTCCCTCCATCGCTCTTCTCCGTAGGTACCACGAGTTCTTCAATTATTCATTCTAACATTTTGTCAGCAGTTTTGTTTTCCTCCCTGACCCGTTGAAAAGGCTGCAGTGCCTTTGAGACCCAGACAGTGTAGACACGCACACACACATATGTGTTTACAGGTGTCAGATCGGATCAGTGTTAGTATAGACAGATGTCCTGTCTTGCCTCTTGTTTTCGTACTTAAGCACACGAACACTCTCAGAAAGACACGTTGTGTCCCTTGCGACAGGAAGGGCAATTGTTGAAAGAGCTGCTCTGCCCTTTACTGTTGAACCTGTAAAGACAGACTAAATGGGCAAGTTAGCGTGGCTTTACTGTAGGGCTGGACGATATGGCCAAAATTTATATCATGATATATTTCTTAATTTCAGTCGATACGATATAATTCCGATATCGATATGAACTCTATTTAAAAAAGCCTCATAAATACGGCCAAGAACACCCACAACAGATGTCTGTACCTACAAACTTATGAAAAATTTATTTGCCAAGTCTATGAAACCTCTTCCTATAAAACTATTAATTTTTTTGAAAAAAAGCACAAATAAATTGATGTTCAACTTTTATTTGTATTTAGCCTTCATACAAACAAGAAATGTGAAATCACTGTCAAATAAACATCTCAGACTCACCTTATTAATTATTAATATCTTTAACTTCAAACTATAAGCTAACATACCAGTGAAAAGTTTTTGAACAGTAAGATTTTTAATATTTTTTAAAGAATTCTCTTCAGCTCACCAAGCCTGCATTTATTTGATCCAAAATACAGCAAAAACAGTAACATTTTGAAATATTTTTACTATTTAAAATAACTTTATTTATTTTAAAATATTTTCTATTTTGAAATATTTTGTTGTATTTTTATGTATGTTTATTTCTGTGATTTCAAAGCTCAATTTATATCACCATTACTCCAGTCACATGATCCTTCAGAAATCATTCTAATATTCTGATTTGCTTCTCAAAAATCCTTTATTATTATGTTGAACAACATTTATCTGAGATAGAAATCTTTTGTAACATTATAAATGTCTTTATCATCACTTTTGATGATAACCCCCCCCTGTTTATAGTGCAGGGTTCCTCAAATCTTGCCCTGGAGGGCCAATGCGCTGCAGAGTTTAGCTCCAACCCTGATCAAACGCACCTACCTGTGATTTTCTAATGATCCTGAAGACATTGATTAGCATGCTCAGGTGTGTTTGATTAGGGTTAGAGCTAAACTCTGCAGGAAAGTGGATCTCGTGGGCCAGATTTGAGGATCCCTGGTATAGTGTATAATTTTACAAAAGCTTTTTATTTCAGATAAATGCTGATCTTTGTATCTTTCTATTCATCAAAGAATCCTGAAAAAAAATTTACTCAACTGTTTTAAATATTGCAGCAAATCAGCATAATTAGGGCTGGACGATATGGCCAAAATTTATATCACGATATCGATATCGATATGAACACTATTAAAAAAGCCTCATAAAAATGGCCAAGAACGGCCACAACAGATGTCTGTACCTACAAACTTATAAAAATTAATTTGCCAACTCTATGAAACCTACTCCTATAAAACTATATAATATTTTTGGGAAAAAATGGCGCAAATAAATAAACGTTCACCGTTTTAATAGAATGATTTCTGAAGGACAATGTGAACAGTGGCCAGTTTTGTTTTCTCTTAGTTTTCAAAATACTAAATATATGTCTAAATACAATTTAACACCAATATTTTAGTAATATACATTAGAATAAACATTACATAAATATTACATAAAAACACACCATTTAGAAAATAAAATATGTAAAATAAATAATGTATTTGTCTTTCTAAAAATATGTATTTTTTCCAATAAATTGAAGGTCAGTACTTGTTTGATCATTTTTATTTATTTATTGCAATAAATAACAGGTTTCAATTTTTGAAGTTGATGAATTCATCAAATAATAATATTTATTGAGTGACACAATTTTTAAGGAATAATACATGTTTTGTAATGGGGGGAATATCATGCAAGTATAGTGCTAATCATGATTTATTTTAACAATTTTTTCTAAATATTATATGTAAATTAAAATTATTTGTATTTGTACATGATCAAATTCATGACATAATTTTGAAATGTATGACAGTTGAGAAGGTTAAACACATGAGATGCATCACTAGCTATTTTTCATGCTAGATTAATGTCTTATCATAATTAATCTGACATATATAATACTTCAAAAAACATGGAAATTGTCTTCAAATCAGTGCCATTCAAGTGTGTACATAAACATCCTTCTCCATAAACACACTCTCAGAATGCACTTCACAGTAGTAGCTAGACCACAGCAGCTAACCAAGATGGTCTGTGCCTGTTTGAGAGAGAGAAATCTGGCATGCCACTCTGCTGTAGGCATGATAACATGGTGGTGGGTGATGTAGGCATGATGCCAGACATTGAGAAAAACAGTTTGTTGCTGCAGGTGTAAGTAGCACAGTGTTGTTTTAGAGTACGGGGGCATGTAGGTTGGCACTTTGATTATGTGGGCTGTCGGGGGATTAAAGGTGGGCATAATGGAGTGGTGTGATGCCACATTGTCAAGGGGACATCGAGGCATGTTACAAGGGTTACAATAGCAGGTGGTGTAAGTTTTAAGCTGTTCCCAGGTGCACAGACTGGGTGCAAGGAAACGCCAACATGCCCTCTGGACAAACCGATTGTCTCTGCATTTCAACTAGTCTGTGCATGTCTTTTGGTGTGACAGTGCGCTGTCATAAATCCAGATCTCTGCCAACAAAGACACTGATGTATGGATCTCTCCTTGGCCAAGGTTAAGCAGACAGCAGTAGGCTGGGATTGTATACGTACTCGTACAGTCATTAAAACAGTATATAGCAGACACCTTTATGATATTTATATAGAGTCTATTAACCAACTGACATCCATTTCAGAGACTCGATTTGCACGACAGGTGTTACTGCTTAAAGCAAATGGATGCACTCACTTAAAATGTGAGCGAATTGCATCTTGGATTCCGCACGTGCACATGCACAGCTGGTAGGGATGGAAGCGGATGCTGTGCTGTGTTGCTCTTTCCCTGTGGTTTTTCCTAATGACAGGAAATTAAACTTCAAGTCAACATGCACTCCTCACAATCAGAGAGAAAGTGTGAGAATAAGAAGTACGCACATTTAGTGTGATGATTGTTTTGGACCTCAAAAAAGGATTGTGGGTAGGAGGGTATATGTAGGTGAAACGGTGAAATTATGTAATCATAAGGTGTCTTGAGTGAATAAGACAGTGCAGAGTGAGGGCGGCAGTTACAGAATGAGATTTTGCCCATCCTATTCTTGTTGCCATGGTGATCAGCTCTCTAAAACCAGCCTGTTTCTCCTAAAGTAAGGGTTGAGGGGTAGGAGGGAGCGTAAATTAGGATTTCGAGGTCTAGGGAATGGAGTAGTTAACATCCTTCACTCTATCAACACGTTTGCCACCTTGACCTCAGTGTTGGAGGTACTACTGCTCCCTCCTTCCCTTTATGTCTTCTAACTAAACAGGGCTCATTTTGTGCCAAATGTACTCGTTGACCTCATGAACTGAATTTGGTTACTGTGCTGGGTGAGGATCGGTTACATTTTTCTCAGCTAGAGTACTGAACATTTTATCATATCAGACAGATAAGATGAATACTACTTACAAATTGAGGCTTTAGACTAGATTTTTTTTAAATTGTCAAAATGCTGTTTTATATCTATTAATGTGGTGAAATTAGGACCTGAAATGAACATTGTGGTTACATTGTATCTTAAATAATTAATATGTGTATTTTTAGGACTGTCTGGATTGTTTAAAAAATGCAATAAAATGAAAGAGATTAATAATGCCCCCTAATCTCGATGGAAATTTTGTAACAAGGAATTCAAACTTGAAGTGAAATACCTCAATTTTTTGTGAACCTGTCCTTTGTGTGCTTTGTCTTTTTATCTATTGAATGAATTATTTTGTCACAATGCATATCATTTATCTTTGAGGAGAATTTCTTATCAAATATTGATACAGAATCTGATAATGGTAATATGTCATTAGAATATGTTAACCTACATACAGTATCACAATTAATTAATGTTGCTTTTAATGTTTTAATGTTTAATGTTTTAATCAAATCGTTTTTATGGCCGATCCATTAAATGGCTGATAATAAATCTCTTTACTATTTGGGATAATTCAATTCAGTCATTTTCAAACTAATTTAAGCTAAAACCAAACATTTTAAATGCTACAGGTAAAAAAAAAAAAGATAAATAATCCAGCCATTAAAGAAATTATATGTGAAAACACCCTTAAAGTTGGAACAGAAGTTGTGATAGTCTTTGCTATTGCTGTGATCTCAGAGAAGACAAGAGATTTTGTTGCAAGAGGGAGGGGAAATTATTTTGATTAAAGATTAATCAGCACATAAAAAAGGTTGCACAGATAATAAATAATAAATACTGCAATATGTCATGAAAAATAATATATGCAGTATTTGTAATGGTGAGCAGGTGAGGGGCCCTTGTGTTACAGATTTTTATTCCCATGTTCCTGTCAGTCACATCGCAGATGTAGATCAGGACCCGTCTGTCGAACCTCCATCACCGTAACAGACATATAAGGCTCCGTCTCTCCTCATCACGCTGTAGCTCAACAGAATGTAGCTGGAGGGGAGAGAAGGACCCCTGTCTAGGCCACGGCTGTCACCACTATAGCGTCTAAGGCTGTGCCCGAGAACCGTCAACAACACAGTTGGCCTGCTGGGTAGTCAGAGGGTACAAAGGAATAAGACTCCTGCCAGTACAATCAATGGCTTATAGGCGTCCACAATATTGCTAGCTGAAGTATTGATGGCAAGGCAGCTTGTTTTGTGATGAATAGAGAAGGGTTCTGTAAATGAGAGTATCAGACTCAGTATATGCTGCCTTTTTATTAGGCCCATATTTATTAGAATGAAACATTTTGCTCTTTCCGATCTATTGGGCTGTTTCTTAACTAAAGTAATGATGGCATATTATTCATTGGCTGCAAATGAGTGGGCAGTAGTGGTCTTGTAAAATTTCTCGCTTACACCATTGTGTCTCGGGGAGATCTCAAAGCTTCTTTAATGTATTTAATGAAATTGAATAATCTTGAGGTTGAAACTGACTGTCTGAATGTCAGTGGAGACTTATACATTTCATATTTCAAAAGCCTAATGGAGTAAGTATCTGGATGGAAAAATTCATATTAGGTTGGTTTCAGTTGGACAACATCAAATATAAGATAAGTCTTGAATTATTCGATGCATTATGTAAAACCCTTTCATTTTGAGCAGCTATGCATGGCAAGAATCCCACTCTTGGATTTTGTAATGTATTGTTAAAGAAAAATCCCGTTTTAGTGGTGATAAATCTCAATGGTCCCAGCCAGTGCTGTACTTCGTATCTAAACTCATGCCATCAAACCTTTTGGGGGATTTGAATCGTTATGAAAACCTCTCTAGATTGAATATATCATGGTTTTATTTGCTCTGATAGATGTTTTATTGTTTCATTAAGTATATTTGGTTGTGTGTTTGGGTGTTATGTTATCTGTGGGATGTTTGTGTATTAGGAATGTATAAGTGTGTATTTGAGTGTTGGTGTGTGTTGAAAGGAATTGTCGTCCAATAGAGATTAATATTAAATTATTTATTATATATATAGTTATTCATTTTGGAAATATTTGATAATGGATCTGTATGACCATCTTTGTTTTTAGTTATGAGTTGTATGGCATACCGAACTATCCAATTGAACTGGTGCATGCTGGGAAACATACTCATCACTTTCATAAACACACCACATAAATTACAACATGCACTACAATTCAAAAGTTGGAAGTCTTTTTTAAATTATTAATTAAAAGATAATATTTCACAATATTACTGTTTTTACTGTATTTTTGATCAAATAAATGCAGCCTTGTTGAGACTTCTTTTTTTTTAAAATCTTACCAAACCCAAACTTTTAAACAGTAGTCTCTCTCTGTCTCACACAGTCAAACACACACATCCACAAGGACCCTTTCCTCACTGTCTTCATACTGTATTTCTCATTCTCCTCGATCCTGTCTCCTCGCCTAACACCAATCCCAAACCTGTCTTTCTTTCACAGGTCCTCCAAGGCCCACCCCGGCCCAGTCGTTCACATTAGTGACAATCCTATGGATGAGGGCAAGGTAAGGCGATGCCTACACAACTACATGAAAACAAATGAACACTTCCTGACATGAATAATTCATTTCCCTTTCTTCACACAAAGCTCTTGTTTTTTTCCATTCTGAACTCATAAGACATTTCTTTCCTACAGTGCAGCACTGTTCAGTAATTGGGTCTAATCTCACAGAGCTTGTTAGCAAATTATGTTGTTTTTGAAAACAAATGATCGAGGAGATATGAAGAGATGAACAAATTCTCTAGCTACTTCCAAATACATTTTTTTAGACATTAATTTTACCTTCGCTAATTGCCAGCGCACAGTCAGAAGGGAGCAGAGAGACCGGTGCACACCTGCTGTGGTTTTGCCCCAAAACTGTCTGTCTCTTTCTCTGGCAGCTGGGAGCTCCTCATAGGCACCTTTACAGTGATGATCCACTCTCTCTCTCCCTTCCCACTTCTGCCCCTGAACGGGGCATCGATCCATAACAGGTCCACTCAGTTCTTAATGGGCCTTAAAGTCCTTAGACACATTGTCCCTCCCTCTTGGCTGACAGAACTCTGACACTTTATCAATTCATAGACTATCACTGAATCTTTAAAAACAAAGAGGTTTTGAGCTCAGATGACAGGAAACATGTAATTTTTAAAAGATATTTAGACGAATTTCCTGACCACTCATTCTCATGCATTTACAACTCGGGACTGAAGTTATAGAGCTTAAAAAAGCACCTTCAAGCATCTTAAAAGTCATACAGTAACTTTGTGCAGTACAGGATAAAATTTAAGTCTGAAAGGAAGAAAATTCACAGAAAAAGACAGGTTTGAAATGACATGAGGGTGAGTAAATGATAGAGTTTTCATTTTCTGGAGAGCCATTTCTTTCATAATAAATGTAGAGTTGGATTATGGTGATAACAACTTGCACATTTCTTCCATGTTTTGAGCAGAATGTTTTGTCTGATTCATTGATTTGGTTGGCGAATGAAGAAAAGTTTGTTTTGGATTAACAATCAGAAAAAAAGGATTTTCTCAAACAGCTATTTATTGTTTTATTTGATGAAACACATCATTTACTTTCAGATTTACGTCACCACCTCCATGAACTCTCATCAGTTTACAGGTCAGGTTCAACAGACTCACAGCATATTTTCCTTCCTTTCTTGTTCCCCCCACATCTTTCTTCTTCTTTCAGCTCATAATAGGATTTGAGTCTGGGATCGTAGTGCTGTGGGATTTGAAATCAAAGAGAGCTGACTACCGGTACACTTATGATGAGGTATGTATTGTCACACAATGTTGTATTCCAGGCTCCTGTCGCCTGCAGTGGAACAAATGCATAGAATATGGAAATGCGTTACACAAATATTCATGAGATGTTTTGATTTTAATAAAGGACGCTGATTAGATCTCTAAGTAGGCACATAGTTTGTTCAGCTTGGTTCTACAGCATCAAAGGAACATTGGTATTTGAGAAGCATAAGTGGCAGTGTGTAATTTGGGTGCTAAATTCTTCCTATTCTCTATCATTCATTCATATTGGTGTCTTCAGGAATGTTCTGAAAAGTGGAGGGACAACTCATGACTCATTAATATTAATTAGGTTACAACATGTTCCCCCAACTTATTTACTGAACAGCAAAGTGAGCACTATATCTATAGGAGGATTACAGTTTGCATGTTTGTTCAGTCTACTGTTCTTACCGGGTGTTGTTCTTAAAGCCATTCATTTACACAACATAATTTATTGATTAATTGATTGATTGAAAACAACTTCTTTAAATATTATAATTTTCTCAAAGACTTTTTAATATAATAATTATCCAATAATATTTATATATATATATATATATAATAGTCATATGATGCGATTTCAAGTTTTCCTTTCTCTTTGGAGTGTTACAAGCTGATTGTGCATAGATAAGATCCCTGAAGTTGCAAAGACTAAAGTCTCAAAACCAAAGAGATATTCTTTATCAAAGTTAAGTAGGAAACTATTTGAGAGAGGCGGGGCATAGAGAACCTACAATAATGTACAGTATTAAAAAAATTATGTGTTTTTTGAACATTAAAGCATGTCAACATATTCTGTTACACCAAATACACAAAATAATGATCGTTAAAAAAGCATCATATGACCTCTTTAAGGCAAATTAACAATTAAAAATATATTTAAAAAGTAGTTAACATGATGTAGTTATTAATAAATTAATTTCTTGTTTAAAACAAGCACACTACCATTAAAAATTTGGTTCAGAACTCCTCAATGCTCATTAAGGCTGCATTTATTTGATCAAGAATACAACAATACAGAATTACTGTAAAATATAAGTACAGTTTAAAATAACTGTTTTCTATTTAAATAGATTAAAAAATTTTATTTATTCCTGGGATGGCAAAACTGAATTTCAGTGTCAAAAGACAGAAATCATTCTAATATGCTGATTGCTCATGAAATATTTCATGTTATTATCAATGTTGAAAACAGTCTTGCTGCTTAATATTTCTATGTGTGTGTGTGTGTGTGTGTGTGTGTGTGTGTGTATGTTTTCCCCAGAATTCCATGATGAATAGAAAGTCCAAAAGAACATTTATTTTAAATATAAATATTTTGTAACATTATACATTTTTACAAATGTATTGTCTCTCTTGATCAAATAAAAGCATCATTGCAGAGTGAAAGTATTTATTTAAAAAAAAAATCTGATTTTCCACTTTCCTTTTACAAATAAACTACATTACAGTAATAATTTCCCGAAAAGTGAATGAACTTGGAAATTTGAGGAATATCCCCTGTCAGCTGTGCTATGCCTCTGAATTTATTCATCCAATCATCCATTCATCCATTCATTTACATTTTACATTTACATTTAGTCATTTAGCAGACACTTTTTATCCAAAGCGACTTACAAATGAGGACAATAAAAGCAGTCAAAACTAACAAAAGAGCAACAATATATAAGTGCAAATGACAAGTCTCGGTTAGCCTAACGCAGTACACGTAGCAAGTTGTATAAATAAATAAATATATATATATATATATATTATACACACACATAAACACACACACATATATACACACACACACACACACACACACACAAAAACAAGTAGATAGAATAGAAAAAAAGAAGATAAATTTAGATAAAGTAGAATTTAAATAGAATACAAAGTGCTAGAGTTAGGGGGTAAAATAAAGTGGCCCAATATCTCTTGAATTGGTTTTGAACATTTCATTTCAGCTTAAATGTTAAATGTTATTTATTTATTTTTATTTTTATTTTTTTGTCTGAATGTCCTGGAAATGATTAGCATGCATCTGAAAAGCCCCCATAGAACATACAGTTAATCTGCCTCTCCAGTTTAAGCTGGTTCGATGGCTTTTGTCAACAGTGGCAGCCAGCGTACATTAGTTATTATGATGAGCATGATGTGCCCAAAGCAAAGTGCAAAAGAATTAAAACCATCACACACTTTTTTCCCCCAGACATGCAAGCACACACACACACACACACACACATGCACATGTCAAACCCATCTCTTATTGTAACTCCCCCATTGGTGTGTTAGCATATACGTGTGTTGTGTGTGAGAGTGAGAGTTAATTTCTCAGAGGACAACTCATCTGTACCCTGATGAATGACTGTGCCTGGCTGGATGTCTGATTTATTCTTGCCTTCATTTAACTTGATTGATTAGTACAGCAGAGATAAATGTCCTACAATTCACTGCTCCGTAGGGGTAGCAAGGTGTCATTTTGGCTCAGCACAGAGTTGCGCTCGTACCATGAAACCCTTTTGTTCATCAGACCCCCCATAGTGCCTTACTGTTTATAATTATGAAGGAGAGGCCAGGAAAAGGCTCAGACAGGTTGATCAGACTGTCTATAGTTATGCAGATGTTGCCTGGGAACTTTTTTATCTTTGAAGGGGTCACAGAAGTGCAATCGACAGCAGAATTAACATCATATCAGATCATGGAAAGCTATTAGTGCTGAAGGGGTCACTGAGGTGCAATGAGCAGCAGAATTAGCACTGAGGCGGTAAGGAGCTATGCTGTTGTAGATGGATGGAAATGCTGAAATAAGGATAAGGAAAGGATCAGTGCAAGTAGCATAAAGGGCGTACTGTATGGACAAGCAGTTTCTGTTTAACAGTGTAACGTTTATTATTATTTATTAGCTCTAAAAAGGGGAATATTTATGACGAATTATAACTGGTTATGATTCATAATAAATATTTAGATTATATCTTCGAATTAACTGTAGCAGAATCAATATTACAATTATTTGATCTGTCCGTCCACCGAGCAGACAATATAATCATTTATCAATTCAAGGAATATTTATTTTCTGGCCACGGAACAATAAACTGTCCTTCTTTGTACAATGCTAGCAGTAATTCTTAGCCAAATGTAGCAAAGGTTCAAACATTCATTGACTTGGAACTGTGAACAGTAAACAGAAACAATCCGTTGTGAATATAAGGGATTTAATATGCATGATCCTACGCAGACGCTACAATAGAGATTTTAATAATCTTGCTTTCTCTATCTTCATTTCCCTTCTCCTTCTCTTTCATTTAATAATTTTTGTGTGAGATATAGAGTGAGATATAAATAACTAAACTAAATAAACTACATTTTTCCTTGCATCTATACCAGCGGTGGCGAACTCCGGTCCTGGAGAGCCGCAGCCCTGCAGAGTTCAGCTCTAACCCTAATGAAAACTCACCTGCCTGTAGCTTCCTAATAACCGTTCAGACCTTGATTAGCTTGTTCAGGTGTGTTTGATTAGGGTTGAAGCAAAACTCTGCAGGGCTGCGGCTCGCTAGGACCGACGTTCGCCACCCCTGATCTATACAAAGTTCTGTCATAAAAACAGATCTAGATTGGCCTCAACACAATCTGCCAGTAATCACATATACCTACATGGTGCAGCTGATTGGTTTCTGTTGCATCAGCAGCCAATGAGCTTGCTGCTTAATATTCAAATACTTGACCAGTGTTTTCTGTAGCAGTTTGCAGAGTGCTTGTAGAAACCCTTCACCTTCCCCAGCTCCACCTGTATAGATCTCCTAAAGGTAATTTTTTTGGGCATTTTTTTTGTCTTTATAAAGATAGGACAGTGTAGAACAGGCAGGAAGCGAAGTGGGAGAAAGAGAGGGCGGGATCAGGAAAGGTCCTCCAGCCGGGATTCAAACTCAGGACACCCGTAACGTAACAGCATTATATGTCGGTGTGCTGCTTGCTAAGCTATCAGCACCGTCTGCTGCGGGTAATTTCATGTTTGTTATAAGTGCAGGGTAATTTCATTTATATGTTATATATTTTATGTGATGTCATTGCTGTGTGGTTGCTAGGGTGATTAGAGTTGTTGCTAGGGTATTGCTTACTGTCCCAAGTCAAAAGAGATCTTCTGGTTTCTAGTTATGATTCAGGTTGCTTCCTCAGTGTATGAGAATTTTTTTCCTGACCATTTTATTTTCAATCACTTTGAAAAGTGATAGTGGATTGGAACAAAATGGATTGTTCAACTCCCTAACTGTCAATATGAGCAACAGTAATATTGATAACAAGCACTTGCTGTAAATAATATATGCTTTTTTTTATATGTATGCACATCTACAGTAGTCATTTTTGGAGAAGATGGCCAGCTGACCTTGTTCCGGATGGCTTGACGTTCACTGCAGGACTGATGTGTTTTGTGTGTGTGAGGGCAGTGGCAGCAATATTTTTGGACTGAAGAGGCGGGTTGTGGCTGCCTGCAGTAAAGCCAGCAGACCTCTTTAGCTCTAATTGGGCCTCTGTGTGCGTGCATGTGTCAGAGGTATGACAATGTCACAGTTCTCTGTGGGTATCTCCAAGAGTGTGACAAAGAGAGAGAAACATATAGAGGATAGAGTAGAGGGGAGCTAGAGGTCCTGGTATCTTTAAAGTGTTGTTAATAAGGCAGGTGGCTTATCCTTCAGACCTTTCTCAAGCTGACATACACACACATGCATACAGTCATCCCACATGTCCTTGTCACTGTATGAGTATAATTACAAGTCAGAAGCTATGGAATACTAGTGTACAGCAGGGTATACAAGTATACAACCAACAAGGTCTATAATCTAATCTAGAAATCTATTCGTTAGGCCTATCCTTCACATTTATGAATTTTAGGAATCAGCCACTGTATTTAAATAATTTAAAAATGAACTGTATACTGATCAACCACTAATCTGAATATGGATGTCTGCTAGTGGTTACTGCCTTACAGCTCTCTCTTTTTAGTAATAATATTATTCTTATTTTTTTATATATTTGATTTTAACATATGAGATGTTATTATAAAATAACCTTATTCCCACTTGTCTGCATGCGCATTTCCACAAGTGCTACTCAGTTTTTGCACAATAAAATGGGTTAGTTTGTGTTTTTATCTGATTCTTGTTGTAAATCACGATAGTCTGGTCAAATATTGATAAAAATCATGGACAATATTAAGATACTTGCAGTTTATTCATCAGGAAGTTGTGCATTACTTTATGGGATACAGTATTCCATGCCATATTCTGTTGCATATTTTTGCAAATGTAGTAGCCCATTCAGGTAATCCATGCATTCAAAAAACATTACATTCTGGCGTATACTATATTCTGCAGAAACGTTAATGTAAGTAATGCAATTCTGAATAGTTTGCTTCAAGCTTCATTGGATGTAATTTGTTTAGTAAAACACATTTATGTTGAATAATTGTGTTCCACAGCCATTTGTTCTGTACCTTCAGAGCATATATTATGCAATTAATATAATCCTTCCTAATCATAGTGGGGTGTTGTGAATGTAGCTGTGCTTAAGCATATTTTTGTGTGTGTGTGGGTGCGTGTGTTCGTCTGGCTCCTCCTCTCTGGATGCTCCTGTAATGATGTTGCACTCAGTTCATTGATTAGTTGGGTCTGCTGAGGTTCGTCCCCACTGTCTGCTGGAGACAGAGATAGAGCCGCCATCATTATGCTAAACAAGAGGAGACTGCGCTTAATTAGAAAATAATGAGAACTCTCTTTCAGCCTTCTTTGTGCTTTCACTGGCTCCCTTTTCTCTCGATACATCAGTCTCATGCTGTGCATTCTCTCTCTTTCTCTTCCCCTTGATTCAATTCTGTTCCATTCATTGTGCTATATTGGCCTGACTGTTTTCCCCATAGTATTGCCAAAGCCTACAGTCAATACAACAACAGTACAAAACAAAGCTATATAAAGAAACAAAGCTGCTGAAGTGCAACAAAGGAATTATGGGAAGGTTAACATGCATTCCAATATGTTATGTTCCAATATATACAGCATGTTCCAAATTTTTAAATAAATGGTGTTCTTTTAAACTTTCTATTCATTAAGAAATGAAATACAAAATATCACAAAAATATTAAGCCTCACAACTATTTTCAACATTGATAATAATATGAAGTGTTTTTGAGCACTAAATTAGAATACTATGATTTCTGAAGGATCATGTGACACTGAAGCCTGGAGGAATGGCTGCTACAAGTTCAGCTTTGCCATCACAAACATCAATAAAATATCAATAATAAATATCAAAATAGAAAAAAAGTAAATTGTAATAATATTTCACAATATTACTGTTTTTACTTAATTTGTAATCAAATAAATGTAACCTTGACTTAAAAAAAAACATTGCAGACCCCAGCCTTTAGATTGGTAGTGTATATAAAAGTTATTAAATAATGTAGCTAGCTAAGCTAAGGACTGTTCTATTAAAAAAACAAACACTCGTTCTTATTGTAAATAGCTGGCAGAAAATATCAGACACATTATGTGATTCCAGAAATATTGCCAGGGGAAATGTAACATTGTAGATTTGATCAACTTAATCACTAAAATAGCTTAGCAACATTATTTTAAAATCAGCTACTTTAAAAAAATTAAATAACACTTGGATGTAAACGTGACTCCCCTCCTCATGTTTTCTGGATAGAGCCGCAGCAAAAACACTGACAGTCTAAAAAGCATGCTGCAATCCTACTGTTGTTGTTGCACTGAAGCTACAGATGCAGAATGTATATAACAGACCTACTACTAGCTTCACTATTTGTAGAAATTGTATTGATGCTCAACACCAGAAAGACAGTCTTTCTTTATATCACTTATCCCAGCATGCCTCTTGATTCAACCTGGGTAGGCCCGACGTATACCCCTGGGTCATGTTCTTGGGCATTACCGGTGTGAGTTACTATTAGGAAATCTCCCATTGAGTTGCCTCTCCCCAGGCAAGCATTGCTAACCTTTGTTTCCTGCTCTTTTTCCTGTCTTGAACTGTCATTCTCACCCACAGGCGATCCATTCTGTGGCCTGGCACCACGAGGGGAAGCAGTTTATCTGTAGTCACTCAGACGGCACCCTGACCATATGGAATATAAAGTCCCAAGCCAAGCCCGCACAGACAATCACACCACACGGTTAGTGATCTTTCTCTTTTTATGGCTTAAACACACAGATTTTCTTCAAATTCATTTTTTGTCAGGATAAGGGTTGCAAAATTATTTGCTCATGTCTATTTCACAAGGTTGAATCACACCTCTCTCAAAGACTTGTTAATTCAGGGTTGTAATTTGATTTTTTTCTCCTCCTCCTTCACAAAGCAGCTTAAAAACAATCGGCTCTCCTTCCCTGATTTCCATTTCAAGTGAAGCTTTAATTTTAATTTTGCTCCTCCATGGAGACTGTCTGTGTTGTGGTCTGATAAGTGAGGTGAGGTCATGCGCTTCCTTTTGGTGCACGTCCTTGCCTGCTCTATTGAAGATACTCCACTACGGTCCGCTCTTGATTCAAGAACCCCTTCAGCCTCACCATGCCTCCATGAGAGGAGAACACCAGACAGCCAGATTTAGAAACTAATTGGCAAAAGCCATAAAATATTGTCAGAATTTTGGTATTTTCAATCCATAGGCATTAGTAGGCCCTGTTTAGGGAAGAATTAGCCCCGCCGTCTTTTATCTTAGCCACATTAAAAATCTTAGACTAATCTGTTCCATTTTTCTCTTTCAAGCAGATGCAGTTTTTCTTATTTTAATTTAGGTGTATTTAAATATTTAATAGCAGCACAATTTTTTTAAATTTAATTAATTAATTAATTAATTCTTTAAATATGTGAATGGCTTCATGCTCGTCAGATGATTTAATGGGGTCTTTAGCAAGTCCACACCAAGTGTACTGTTTGGGACAGAGCCAGAAAAAGAGGTTAGGAAACTCTCTGAATGAGTCTGATTCTGTTTCAGGAAAGCAGCCTAAAGATGGAAAAAAGCCAGAGCCTTGCAAACCCATTCTTAAAGTAGAGTACAAGACCACACGAGCAGGGTAAGTGCACAAATGCAGCAATACATTTTTGTTTTTCCTGACCATCTTAGACCATCATGAATGGTGGTCCAGGCTGTTTTTTGCTGGTCAAGCTGCTAAACCAGCATTGTGTTCCTAAGTTAAACTTTTCTAGCAAAATGTTGTTTTTAAATAAATGTGGAGTCCAACAGCCTGAGACCACATTGAAATATGGAATAAAAAATTAATTTCAAGCTCATTTAAACCTGGAAGTAAGCAAAAAGTTACAATGTAAAATAAATAGCAAGTACTTAAGATTCTGCAGGATTTCTAGGTCACAACCAAATAAACAAACTTGTGGAGCTCAAGTGCTTCTTTTGTTAAAGGAAAAGGCATTCTAAAAGACATTCATTTCAGCTTCTCACTTAGATTGTTATCCAAATAATATAATTTGAGAAAAATACAAGCACAAACTTTCTAACTTTTGAAACTCACTGTACGGTATATGTTTGTGTTTTCTGAACAGGGATCCATTTATGATCTTCTCTGGTGGTTTATCGTATGACACCATTGGTCGACGACCATGTTTGACAGTAATGCATGGAAAGAGCACGGCAGTATTGGAGATGGATTATCCCATTGTAGATTTCCTCACCCTGTGTGAAACGCCATATCCTAATGGTATGTAGGTAGATTTACTCATTAACAGCACCTGCTCTGTCCAATATTGTTGCAATAACTGCTCAGTCTTTTTATCTCATACCACTTCCTCTCTTTTCATTTTTTGCTGACATTTGAACCTTTGTTTTGTTGGGTTGTTCTATTCTTTCATGTTCTTTGTAGATGAGCTTGAGCTCTCCCAGTGGAACTGCTGCCTAGTAATTACATTTTACATAACTTTTTTTTTAAAGCTCCCTCTATTCATAACATCCAGTTCTGTGACTGCATTCGTTTATTATTGCTGTACCCATTTGAATAATTTATCACTTTGGTGGCTATTTATGAATAGTAAGTGTTTTCTTTTCACTCTGCATGCAGCTGTAGCAAAGGCTGATAGGACTTTAGTTTGTTAATAGTCTGTCAATAATTTGCTGTGAAAAAGAGAACATTAAATATACTTATTATTTATTATGGGCTCAATATACTTAATATGGGCTCTTTGAAATACTTGATGCTCCAATTGGCCAGACTCTGTTTTCCCTAAAATGTCTGTTGAGCTAAATTTCAGCATTGCTTTTGAGTATTACTGATATAAAGACGAAAGAGAGGAAAACGTGAGTTGTTCAAGACTGTTCAAGAGTTTGGGGTCTTTTTTTTTTCTTTTTTGAAAGAAATTAATACATTTATTATGCAAGTATGCATAACATTTAAAAAAAAGAACTATTTATTGTTAAAGTGACAATGAGCGTACTGATAATGTTGTAAGATTTCTATTTCAAATAAATGGTGTTCTTTTAAACTTGTTTTCTATGTTATGGACTTTTTTCTTAGTGTAAAGCTGAGTCAGATAAATTAAGTTCAACTCGAATCAATATTTTAGTCACCATGATTTGTGTTGTGGTTTATTTTGAGGTAATGACAAGCTGACTGTACTTTATCCCTTACATAACATATCACATACTTTTAGCTTGTGCATGGTGCTGGATTAAAAACAAGATTTTTTTCTTGTGATTCACCTCGCTTTTACAGATAATCATGCAGTTGTTCTTGCCTAAACAAAGTATCTGTGTTCATGTATTTGCATTAAATGCTTAACCGTTTTGTTTAGAGTTTGCATTAAGCCAAACTGAGAGGCAGCAAAGAATGCGGAAGGAATGGGAACAGTGTTTACAGTGCTGCTTGCATAACAGTGCCTGGCTCTGTATGTTGATTAAGTTATATTTGAAGTGAGATGTCTTTGGTTGACTCATTATTGAGACATTTAGGAGGTTCAAACTTGTGCAGTGACGTCTCTAGTCATAACTTCAATGGATCAGGCCACTTAAATATGATACATACTTTATAATAAGTGTTCGTGCCAGAACTGGTGCCATTTGCATCTCTCATGTTCATATACTACCAAGTCTTATTTTCACCAAGGCTGCATTTATTTGATGAAAAACAATATTGTGAAATAGCATTATAATTTTGAAATAACTCTTTTCTATTTTATTATATTTTAATTTGCAAATTATTCCTGTGATGTAAAAGCTAAATTTTACTCCAGGCTTCATTATCACGTGATCCTTCAGAAATCAGTCTAGTATGGTGATTTGATACTAAAGAAACGTCTCGGTTACTTGTGTAACCCTCGTTCCCTGAAGGAGGGAACGGAGACATTACGTCAGTTGTGACTGACAAATTGGGATCTTGCCCGAGAGCCCAATCACCTTCGAGTGTAAACTAAACAAGCCAATGACAGTTGGCGTGCGTATTTCGCCACGCACACCCCGCCCCGCAGCGCGGGTATAAAAGGAGAGCACGTGCAAACGCACATCAGTTTTTCGCTGAGGAGCCGAGACTACGTGCCCCAGCCGTACAGCAGTGGTACAGCAACTGTGGCGACGGAACGTAACGTCTCCGTTCCCTCCTTCAGGGAACGAGGGTTACACAAGTAACTGAGACGTTCCCTTTCAGTCAGTCACGTTCTACGTTACGTCAGTCGTGACTGACAAATTGGGATCCGTATGGAAAACGCCACTATTGCTGACCCCCTCCAGTGCCCTGCGGAAGCTGGCAAGTCCCCCCACACCAGCTGGGGCGGAAGATAGGACAGCAGCTAGGCAGAGGTGTCCGCCACTGCTGTTCCATACAGTGGTACATTGGATAACACTGGGAAAGCGTACCCAGTTGGGAACGCTATGGAAGCCACATCCTGCGCGTAGGAGGTATCATGTGGAATACACATATGGACTGGCCCAGGGCAGTGCTACATATGGAAGTCCCTGAGGTAGACTCAACCCGCCTGAGGTGAGACGACTACACAACAGAGATGGCAGAGAACGACTTCCAGGGAAAGACACGGGCTTACCGTGAGGGGAGCCGTACCGTGGAAGAGTACACATGTTTGATCGCCCGAAGGGGGAATCACTACACACGGGCACCTAGCCCAGCACAAGGGCTGACCTTGGGCATGCACACGAGTGCTGAGCCTGGCGTCTGGCGCTCCGCCACGCATGACCGCCGAGGGTGCGGGAGGAACTCCACCAGGGTTCGCCATGGGGAACTGAACTGAGGAGCAAAAAAGCGCACGTATCCGGTCCGTAGAGGGGAATGGCGCAGCAAGCGTGATCGACAGTAAATGCGCAGAGCACGAACGGGACAGAGCAGAGCGATGGCTGGGTCTGCCTCCTCCCGGGGCAGCGCTTGCAAGTTCACCACCTGATCCTTAAAAGGCGTGGTGGGAACTTTGGGCACATATCCAGGCCGGGGTATCAGGACAACGTGAGAGTTACACGTTCCGAATTCTAGTCCAGCTCCATGCCGAGAAAAGAGATCCTCTGCACCGGGGAGAGTTTGCTCCCCAGTGACCGAACAAGCGGGACCAGGGAAACCACCGACGTACCCGCAGTGGGGCAGCGAAGTGGAACACAGGGACCCAATCCGGGAGGCCGTGCGTCCCAGGGTGGGGTCTGAGTGTGCGGCCCGCCACTTACCTGGCTCCACAGCTGGGCAGGGGGCTCGTGAGGAGGCATAGCATCCCTGAACCGGACTCTGCTGCCCATAGGCGAAAGGAGAGGGGGACGGTCGTGTGGAGACTGTGTCTCGTGCACCGCCATCCTCGCCCTCTTGGCCCCCGGAGGCCAAGGAAACTGCTCTTTTATTGAAGCTGGGTAGCCAGTGGCGGAACAGAAACAAATGGGAACAAAAGATTCTCCGCCCGGCCCTCCTCCGGGGGAAGGAGTGGTGCGGTTACCATCTCCTGAAGAGCAGGATCCAAGAGCTCCGGGTCGCCTGTCTCAGGGACGCCGCCTGCCCTGGCGCTTCACTGGCTTGGCAGGGGTGGAGGCGGGCCACGCCGGAGCGGAGGTGGAGGCCACCCTCGGCGACGAGCAGACAGAGGGGCTGCAGCCAGCGGTGGGGTGGAGACGGCAGCAGACCGCCGGGGCAGGATATGTCGAAACGCCTCTGTCTGCTTCTATTCAGAGAACTGTTGGGCAAAGCCCTCCACCGCTTCGCCGAATAGGCCGGCCTGGGAGATTGGGGAGTCCAGGAAGCGATGCTTGTCGGCCTCCCTCATATCCGCCAAGATCAGCCATAGGTGGCGCTCCTGGACCACCAATGTGAACATGGTCTGACCCAGGGCCCGCGCGTGACTTTCGTCACCCTAAGCACGAGGTCCGTCGCCGTGCGCAGTTCCTGCAGCACACCTGGGTCAGCACCACCCTAGTGCAACTGATTCAACGCCTTGGCCTGGTGGACTTGCAGGAGGGCCATGGCGTGCAGGGCGGAAGTGGCCTGTCCAGCAGCACTGTAAGCCTTAGCCATCAATGCGGACGAGAACTTACAGGCCCTGGAC